CCATGGTGACTCTTAAAAATGTAAATATGAGTATGTCACTCTCTTGCTTATAACTGCTCATCACCAAAATTAAAAGGAAACCCACATTGTTATCATGGCCCATGAAATGCCATGCCATCTGGTCCCTGAGACCTCTGGAATGTCACCTTTGCTCCCTCGTTCCACCTGGCCACGGCTCTCGGTCACCCTGCCTGCCTGGCGTATCTGTGAGTCCCCAGTCGTGTTGCTTCAGGGCCCTCTGGACTCGGTCTGTCCCTTCTGACCACTGTTGCCTTCGCTGCCTCCCTTCATTCCTATCTCTGCTCTGATGTCACCTCTTCAGAGAGGCTTTGTCCTGTCCTCGTACCTCCATCCCCTTGTCAGGCTTTATTTTTCTTCATAGGACTGCTTCATCTGCCATTCAACTCTCCTCTGGGTGTTTCTGCCTGTTTCCCAATTAGAATCTCGTTTCTACAAGGGCGGGAACGTTGTCAGCTTTGCTCCCTGTCTTCTGTGGCGTCTAGGACAGTGGTTCACCCCACACACGCTAACGTGCGATTTTCACGTCCCGTTCATACAATTTAATGTAATACCGGCGAGTGTCTATTTGTTCTTTCTGATGATCACACTGTCCCATTTTAGGACTATATGACTTCAAAATGAAGCCGCCTCTTTTCTGATGGGCATTTGGGTATTTCCAACTGTTGACAGAGTTTTACAGAATAAATTCCTAGAACTGAACTTCTACTGAAAGGGTAGGAATCTACTTAATCTTAACAGCATTTTTAAAATTTTTTAAAATTGCCCTTTAGAAGCATTGTAGTAATTTATTCTCCTACCAACATTTGGTCTCTGTCTTGCCTACCTGACCTGTTGCTGTCGAATGTGGACCTTGCTGAAGGCAGGAACTTCATTTATGTCCATTTTCATGCTATTCAGCTCAGTTTGGGTTTTTATTCATACCAAACTATTTCTGAGAAGTAGCTCATTTGGTAGAGTAACCCTGCATTTGTATCCCCATATTGGCAAGATCCCAGTTGAGCGGTGGGGTCAGCACCATGGGGTCTGTTACCAGAGTACTGAGCCAGGCAGAATGACGTGTTCAGGAAAGGCACCATGAGGCAGAAAACCAACTCTTATTGAAAATAATAAGGGTGACAGCTAGAGAAATGAGAGCAAACTTTGAGAGGAGACACATTAGGAAGCTCAGCAGTGTGGGGGCTCAGGTTGGTGTTAGTTGGTTTAGTTTCCCACCCACCCATCCATCTATCCAACACATATCTACTGAGCACCGATTATGTGTCCATAAGGTGGTTTAGGTGCTGGGGGTAGACTGATGAATGGCGAACTTCCTGCTGTCACGGAGCTTACATTCTAGTGTGTTTGTGTTTGTAGACAAGATAAACAATGAACAAATTAATGAAGCCATAATATGGCTGGTAGTAAGTGCTATGGGGGAAAATGGGGAGGATAGAGAATAGTGGGGTAGGCAGAAATGGCTTCATTCAACAAGGGTTTGGGGTCTCATGGAGCAGGGTATGGAGGAAGTAAGATGAGCCGCGGGAAGGAGGGAAGTGGAACAGGCGGGGACTGGTCCTGGTGATTGGGTTGAAGGTGTGAGTAATGGCGGGTGGGAGAGGACGGCCTTCTTGCCAGTAGTGCACAGGTC